ACAACCAACTAAAGAGCTTTATCTGTAGGGTTGCTGTGAGGATGGGAGACACCTGGGAGGAGTGTGGAGTAGAGCTGTTGCTCCTCTGGATTAAAGGGAGTCAGCGGGGTACCTCTGACTCCTGGGTACCACCTTTTAGTCCAAAAAGCATCTGCTGTAAAAATATGACACAGTCCTTTACTATCAAGGGCAAATTTTGCTCAATTTTTGTTGCAAAGATGTTTTGTAAAGGATTATTTAAAAAAAAATAAAACACATTTTTTTACACTGAAACTTCTAAAAAAAATGCATTTCGAAAAAGAAACTAAAAAGTTTTATTCATAAAAGGTTTTGAGAGTAACTTTGCTGTTTTCTGTGCTTTATTTTTTTTTTTAAAACACCTTTTTTCAGAGTGAGAAATTGAATTCTTTCCAAATTGCATTTCACATTCTCTTCCCTTTATGCAACCCTCCACTGTAAATAAAAATGTAAAAAGAATGCAATTTGTAAGACTTAATCCAAAAATCTGAAAAAGTCTTTCACTTTCAATCAATTAAAACCCCAACAAAATCTAATACAAAATCATTAATATTGTTTTTGCAAATAATGCTTTAGAAACGCAATAAGGAATATTGGTGGGCATAGATACATTTTTTAACTGTAATTTTAGAATTAATATCACTAATTAGAATTTTGCCAAAGGCATTAATGATATGTGTGTGCTTCCTACAGAATTTCAAAGAAAAGGTTTACTTTTTTATATAATTGAAAAATCACACGTAATCTTGTTTTCTCACTTAAGATTTTTACGCAGTTATACTTTTTTTTGACCATTTGTTGAAGTATTTTTACTGCAAAAATTAGAGTGTCCCACTTCCAGTTATAAATGTCCCCCTTTAACAATATAGCAGAGGTCACGAATTAGCGGAACGTGATCCGGATCCGGACCCACCTGATTTAAAACATTTATAAATTACAGCATGTTGTCCAACGACAGTGTCTAATTTCACTTGCGCTGCTTCTCCTGTTAATATGGTAAAGCCCTCCGGAGCTTCCGGCACCAGGATACAAATGATACAAATTAACCAATGAGCTGCTGTCAGTCTGGGTTGCTGCTGCTGCTACTTTTAGACACAGCAGGCAAACCTGTGGCAAGCTGGGCGATGGGAAAGAAGGAGAAGAGGATGAGAAAAAGAGAGCAGAGAAAGTGTGGACTGCTGGAAGAGGCGGGGAAAACTAAACTAAGAGAGTGAAATGGCGTGCTTGAAGGAGAGTATGTTTGGCTCAACCTGCTGCTGTAAAGCAGGATTCTCCACCATGAACAGAATCAAAAATAAATATGGATACAGGCTCAAAATGAGCACCTTAATATGTGCTTTAGAATGGCTTAGTCTCCATTCAAACCCAGGTTTAAAGCCTTGCAGGGCAGCTTAAAGCCCACTGCTCTCATTAAGACAGAAAAAAGAACAACTATATATATCAAAAGGTGAGTTCAGTTTTATAAAATATATGAATCAGTAAATTGTCTATATACCAAACTGAACGGTTGTTGTTCTCCACTTCAAAAAACACTTTTTACACATTTTAAAATGGAAAATGTTCTATTGCTTTTTTATTTTAAATTTTAAATAAAAAATTCAATGTATAACATGGACGCATAAAAAAAACACATATTATTTCAGTGTTAAATTCTGTTTAAAGTAACAGATTATAATTAAAAATGTCTCCAGACTTTAACTGGTTGTTGATTTTCTTTATTCTGATTCCGCTGAGTTTTAATTGGTTACCCCTGCAATATAGTGTCTCCAAAAATCGGACACACATCTTTCGCATCTTTCTCCGCGGCGTGCTGGTCATGTATTCTCCTCATGATAGATCGCCTCGCAGGTATTTTGTAAGATGGGTCCCCTGTGGCCGCCCAGAGATCGAGCTCAGCCTATCAGCCTCTCTGATGGCCTGGCAGCTTGTGGTTATCCACTGAGCGAGGAGATTGCTTAGCTTGGCTGATAGAGCTGTGCTTATAGCTGCATTATTGTCAGCGCGTCACGTTCACAGTGATCATTTCACAGGACGCCTACACAGGTTGGAAGACTGATTCGTTCTCACCCCCAGATATAAAGCCGCACTAAAATATCAAGGTGAAGGTCATCATTAATATAGACCCAGCCCCCAACCCAACTGTGAGGACAGATTAACGCCAATAACGACCCACCACTAGCAAGAAATAAAGGACAAAAGAAAAATGAAGCTCCTAAAGCAACCAGAGTTCACTGAACACATGAATGGTAGACCTGCTAGAGGGAGGGAAGAGGGGTGTCCCCATCTTTTCTTCCTCCTTCCCTGCCTCTCCTTTCTGCTCCATCAGCTGTTCAGGCTCAACACAGAGACAATGAACGCCAGGGAGGCGGGCTGCATATATTAGAGGGGGAGGAGAATGCAGAAAAGGAGTCTTTATGGTTGGGTTTGGGTCTGAGCGGCAGCCGGGGAAGTGAAACTGACAGAAACAAATGGAAGGAATAAGAAGAGGAAGAAAAGAGTCTGGTAAGAAAGCTAAGAACTGAAAAAATAGAAACTCAAAATAAAATATCTGCAGCGCAAGTAAAAAGAAAAGAGAAGAAAACCCAGAGCAGGGGAAAGAGCAGAAGAAACCAGACAGAAGAGACAGGAATCAAAGGCGCCCACTGGAGACTGACATGTTAAATCTACCCTATCCTCTTCCTTCTCTCCGTTTGAAGGCCAGACTGCCATCTTTGTCAACGTAGACGTTATTTAATTACTTCCCTGACAATCCTCCACTGGTTCCTCCTCCCTTCCTGATTGCCTGTCAGTCTGATATATTAAAATAAAAGAAACCAATCCCTTTTTCCCCCCTTCAGAAAAACTTCTGCATTTCCATAACTCTTACCAGACAGGGTTGGCGTTGACGGCGTCATCAAACCACAGGATGTACAAACAGAAGAGCCCAACGATCAAGGCGTGCACAGTAGACACCAGCCTGGAACAGACAAACACACACAGCATCACAACCACAAACTGGTCCCGTCAGCATGTCCGGATAATCAGGAACCGATAGCTGGACTTGATAAATAGCCACGCACGCCTGCAGAAACATGTATTTACATGTGCGTGTTAAATTAGGCCCCAGAAAGCCTCTCCCTGACCTTTGGAGTGGTTATCTGGGTCACAGAAGAAGTGTTTCTGAGAGCCTGCAGCTCTTATCTCCCCTTTACCAGGATCACAGTTCTTACTTTATCACTGTTCACGTCTCTGGGACGTTCCACAGGCTGCAGGCGCTGGCCCAAACTGGCTCAACCGTCAGCTAACCGCACTGCCTGATCCCGCTATCATTAAAACTACGTTTCCAAGTTTGAAGATGTTTCGCTTCCCATCCAGGAAGGTTTTTCAATTCAAAATGTGAGGAATGACAAGGCTTTGCTGGGCTATTGTATAAAACCTCAAACTCAACGCTATTCCTGACATTTTGAATTAAAAAAGCAAAGGGGGCAGGTGTAAAAAAAGGAGAAAATACGCAATAAAAGGAAATTTTTTTTTCATTATCATGAAATGTTATAAACTTTACTCTTAAATATAACCTCTGATGATATTAACATAAAAAAAACTAAACTTTGAGGCTAACTACATCAGAAGGTACTATCCCACCTTCATTAACGGGGCACTGGATTGAAATGCCGTTCCTCTTTAACAGTAACATCCCTGAATGAGTCTGGCTTCCTGACCTTTAAAGATACTCTAAATAAAACTCAGAGCACGTCTATAAGTGGACAACAGCATTAGTATGAAAGGCCTACGAACAGATAACATGCCCAGCTCTGCCCTTCCAAGGGTTTGATTTCTTTTTTTTCTGTTATCATCGTCAACAGTTAGTTGTAGGGATGGATAATAATTCAAATTTCAAGAATCGACTCGATTATGATTCTCAACATTTAGAATAAATCCTTTGGATATGATTTCATCTTAAATAATAGACAACTTAAACTACTAGCTCTCTACTGTGAAAACACTTTTATATCCAAGGGAAACAGATTCAAAGACTTTACAACTTTTCTTTTTTTTCCTTTATGCTTTTTTTGGTACTATATACACTTTTTATGTTGTTTGCCATATTTTTATCTTTAATGGACTTTTGCTTTAACTCTTTGTACTCTATATAAGCTACTGGAACCATATTTTCCCTGAAGAAGTAATCCGAAGAGATACATAAAGCTGAGTCTAAGTCTAAATGGTCATATGATATTTTTACTATATTAACTTCAACAGGAAATTAGTAAAGTAATGATAGTTAATGGTTGCTGTAATGAAATGCATTTAAAAAAAAAATCTATCTTTTGTTCCATGAAGTGATCTTTAGGAATGTATGTGAGAGTCAATAGAGAATTGGTTAGCTGAACTATTTGTTACAAAGTAGGAATAAAATGCGGCGGTGAAAAAATGGTGGGTAATATTCTTATGCTAAACAAGCATAAAACAATAGTTGAACAGGGATAAAATTAAGATAAATGCTCTAATTTGTTTTAACATATTTAGTAGGATTGTCTGTTAGTTTCCAGGGGGGGAGAGGGAGATTATGGAAAGAATTTTTGGGAAGCCCTACTTTAAAGATCCAGCTGTTACAGCTGCAGAACGTTTACATTCCTGCAGCAGTAAAGCCTCTGATGTCCAGCCAGAAAGACCCTGAGAAAGAGAGCGACCTTTAACCCAGGTGCTGTTCTCCATCTAAACTCTTTTTAAAAAGTCATTTCTAAGGAGCAATAATGATTATTTTCATGATGCCACCAAATCTAATTGCTCCAAGCTTTAATTGTTGCTTTTATTCAATTTTGCCTTTTATCTTTTAATTTTTAAAGTGTCCTGGTTTATTTAATCTGCCTCTGTGTGAATTAAGTTTATTGCATTTATCCTTAGGGATAAATAAATGTATTATGTTATATTATATTCATCTGTACCTTTCAATGTGAAGTTACTCATTTTTTCCACATTTTGTTCCAAATCAGAGAATTACTCAAGCTAAGTCGAATTGGATGGAGAACCTCTGCACAGCGAAAGGTGCACAGATGGCTTTAACTAGGCCACTCCCAGACAGCCTCTAATCTTTCACAAAACTCTCTTTTTTTTTTTATTATTCTTAAACACATTAACTTCCAGTTTGTCCCCTTTTTAGCTCAATGCAACTTTTAATAAATTCTGGAGAGTTTCTACACAAAGAAATACTTTTAAAAAGGGAGAGCATTAAGAAGAATAGTGAGCATCCTCTACATTAGACTGTTGATTTGGATTTAATAAAGCAGTTTTCAATTAAATCAACCTTTTCCTATTATTTTTCCTCTCATATTAATTTTGAGCGCTGTTTTTTTTTCTCTCCATATAAAAGTATTCACTCAGGCTGTCGCACACCTAAAGCGCGACGGTGTCAGGGTGAAGGGCAGGTTATAGTCCCGCAGCAGTGTGTGACTCCATCCAGGAGAGAAACATCAGCTGTGCTGCTGCCATCAACACCTTTGTTTTCAAATGTTGGAGATTGGTCTGTTTTCCAGTGTACTCCTGTTTCTCTGACTCTGATTGACTGGATGTGCTCTCTTCATCCTCTAAAATCGTAGCTGGCTCGGAGCTCGTCTGCCTGGCTGTGTGTTTCCAGGACAGGGCTGCCTTTTACAGCTGCTTTTTGTATCTCTGCTTCTGTCTCCTTGAACCCCAGTCGGTCTCAGCAGATGGCCGCTTACACTGAGCCTGGTTCTGCTGGAGCTTTCTTCCTGTTAAAGGAGAATTCCGGTTTTTAACACTTTTAGCCCATTTTCTGTAGTGTCCAGGATGAAATCGAATGATCGACACCAAAATTTTGACAATTGGTCCTGT